TAAATAAATAATTGAAATAAAATATTTATATATATTTATTTTATAAAAAATTTAAAATAAAAATAAATTAAATAATATAATCCATTTTAATCTCTCCAAATCAAAGGGATTGAAAATGGAAGAGGAAGGAGGTTCCATCTCTTTTCATCTCCTTTACCTCCATTAAAATTTTTTATCTAAACAAGAAGAGGGGCTTTCACCCCTTCACTCTCCTTTCCTTTCGCTCCATGGATAAGCTAACTAAAAAAAAAAAAAAAAGAGCTTACATGGTAGTATTAAGATTTATATAGCAATATTAGAAAAAAAACCCATTAATTGATATAATTAAAATTGTTAATTATAATTAAACTTGTACCGAACCAACATAATCTTTTTTATTGCACAAAATTAAAATGAAATCTAACAACAAAACCAAAGCATACTACTTCTCTCTTGGAAATTTCTTTTTCGATACTGATGATTAACCTTGCAACCAAACCAAATCAAAACCTTGAAAATTCATACTACTTCAATCCAGTTTAATAATCACATACTTACAAGAGAAATAGCCAAACCAAAACATATAAACAAAATTTTGCAGCATTCATAATCTTAAATTGTCATCCCACAATCACAATATTTGAAACAAAAATCCATCAAACAAAGAAAAAAAATCTATAAACATGGATTTGAAAACCTAGAAATTTGGGTTCCTTGATCCCATGTTGCTGGGTTCCATAGAACCCAAAACTGGGTTCAAATGAACCTAGATCGTAGGGTTCCGAAGAACTTGGATGAATCCAGATTGCTGGGTTCCGAGGAACTTGGATCTGGGTTCAAACGAACCTAGTTCACTAGGTTTTGCAGAACCAAAACTGGGTTCAAACAAACCTAACGTTCTAGGTTCAAACGAACCCAAATCATTGGGTTCTATGATGTGGAAGGAATGAAGAGTGGGAGAGAGAGGTGAAGGAGGAAGAGAAGGAGAGCAGTGGAGGATAGAGAAAGGTAAGCCGGAAACAAAGAGGAGACCAAAGGTAGAAGATGGAGTAAGGGGTAAAATTGTCATTTTAAAACTATTTTAATTTAATAAATAATTAATTTAGACAAGTGGGTCCCTCAATTTTTCAAATAGGAATAATAAAGACACATTATTTATTCACATCATTAAAATAAATAAAAAAATGCCACATGATATAATGTTTTGTCCATATTAGCACCTTTTTAAGTTGTCTTTTCCATATCATAAGAAAATATAAAAAATGCCACGTGGATGGAGTTAACGGCCCTAACTGATGGAAAGACCAAAATTATGCATTTCTTAGAGTTGAGGATAAAAAAAGTGCACAAAATAATTGAGGGACCAAAAAAGACCAAATCGATAAAGTTGAGGGACCAAAATTAACATTTAACCTTTCACATTTGAGCATGTCCCCCATAGGAAGATCAGTGAAATGTACAATTGTTTCAAAGTAAGATTTAATTTTAGCAAATCTAATAAAATTAATGGATTTAACAATTTATGTAATAAAAATAAATTATTTAATTACTAAACTATAATTTTTATTTGTAACAAATCTAATGTTATTCATTTTTTATTTTGTAGGCACTTTACCAATGGCCTGCTGCAGATAATGGCCATGTACAGAAGGCATTCTTAAATTGTATGAAATATAGATGGAGTGACAATATTAGAGATGAGAGGATAAAGTGGGATGAGGACCCAACTTATACTCCATGTTCGATCCCAGCTCATTTATGGTCCAAGATGCAAGAATATTGGAACTCTAAAAAATTCAAGACACTTAGTGAAAGTGGGGCAAAGAATAGGAACTCTTGAGAAAGGATGACTTACACCACTGGGTCTATTAGCTTTGACATCCATGAGATCTGGATGGTAATTAAGCATAATTAATAAAAAATATATATATTGAATTTTATTTAATAATAAATTATGTGTTAATTTCTACCAACCAATATATTGCATTGTACATATTTTGAATTACAGATTGAATCTAGAGGTGGTGTGCAACCTTCCCATCGAGAGAACTTCAAGGAGACACACACATTCAGAAAGGTGCCAAAGAACCAAGACTTGGCATTGATAAATGAAAAAGCAAAGCACCGATATGTAAGTATATATAAAGTATAAATTATCAAAAAATTTATACTTATACGTGTTGGAATAATTTATTTATTTAATCTAAAATTATTTACCAAAGATTTTTTGTATATATTCTTTTGAAATTGCTTTTAATAGTAATAATAATAATAATAGTAATATTACTATTATTATTGTTATATATATATTTTTTGGTTTGCAAGATGCTTATGTCATAGAGTGCATGAGGACCGATGCCCTTGATGTTAGTTTGTGGCGACGCATAGATCACCAAGCATGGGGCAATGTTGTTGGAGGTTGCTCTTCCAATTTCATGCCAGGGATTGGGTCACAAGCAAATCCAGAGGATGATTTTTTTATTACAAGAAGAGACAATCCCAAGACAACTTGATGGCTACAATGATGATAGCTAACTTTGCCAAGGAGCAAGCATGCCAGAATGAGCATGTGACAAAACAAAATGAGGTTGTGGTGAAACAACATGAAGAGTTAGAAAGGCAACATCAACAAATGGCTCTAATGCAACAACAGCTAGCCTAGATGACAGAGGCTCAAAATAACATGAGCCAAACTATTGCACAATCTGTTGCGACAGCTCTCACTGCTTATGGCATCAACCCTCAAGCAGGTCATCATATATTGCCTCAACACATAGCTAGGGCTCCGGTGTCTGCCCAAATACACCCTTCACCTACTACACTGATTCCACCCAAACTTCTCCCATAGTGCTTGGATATCAGTAGCAGCAATAGCCTCAGCCTCAGCCTCAAGATGATGTTTACCATCCTATTTTTGATCCAAATTATCAGGCTTCTTAGTTATGCTTTTTGATACATTGTCTGCACACTTTGCATTGTTGTCTTTTTATTTCTATTAATACTTTTAACTGCTAGTTTTAGCTTCATTGCAATATCTTTTCATATTTTGCTTGATCTCCAATATTCATACTTTAAAAAATATGAAATTTTGGACTATTTTGAGGATTAATTATTATGAATTGAATACTGTGGGTAATTAATATAATGGTATGTGGTTCATACTTTGTAGTTGTGTTTGAAAATATGTAATTGATTTTAGTATGGTAAAGTTGTAGAATATATGATTTTTATTGCAAATGCAGGTTAAAAAAAATTTGGCTTTGATAATATTTATGGGGAAACTCTACCAAATTTTTTTTAAAATTTATGTTTACTAAATACAACAAAATACACGAAACTTATTGAATAAATCTGGAAACTGGCATTAAAAGGGAAGGAAATCTGGAAATTGGCATGGCTGTTGGGCTGGTGCAAAATGGTTTTCTTTACCGACCTACATCGTGTCGGTAAAATATTTTCCAACAGGACCCTAGTCGGCATTTTAAAAGCAACGCCAACATAGATTTCGTTGGTGAAAGGGGCGGAAATTGAAAATTTTTTCATTTTCCCTAATTAACATGGATCTCAGTGCTAAACTGACAGAACGATCAGAAATCTAATCAAAATATCCAAAAATTAATTATCGTACCACAGATTCAAAAGTAAAATCACCATAACTACCCCTAATTACGATGCTATTCCTATCAATCTCCACATGACCAGACATCTCCAAATTTGTTCTTATATTACAACTAAACATTTAATCCTCGTTAATTGTTGGCCATCAGTGCGTGAACAGTACCCATAAACAATACTCGTGAACAGTACCACGAAATGAATAGTAACTACAACTTCCAAAAATGGGCAAAACCATAGCTAATATCACGGGATTTCTCTCCAAAATCTCACAGCAATCAATTAACACTCAAACACATAAATTCTTCCCATTTCTCACGGGCAGCACATAGAGAGCATGGCTTTGGCAAACCACAACTCACACACACGGGATTTTCTCTCCAAAACATCACAACAGCCTACTTAAACTAACTTCTACATGAATTAAGCAAAATCATGGTCCCATTTACTGCCGAATCCCCTCCTATTCCCAGCAAAAAATTCGGACAACAATAGGGTAGCAATTCAACCATTAAAACTCAGCATGGCAACAATTAAATGGCTAATTTAGAACTTAGAGAAGTGGCCATCATACCAGAATCAGCAAGCATGGCCGGAGCTGGCGGGTTTGGGGGAAGGCCGGTGGCAATCTGCAGGGGACTCACGGAATTAACCCAAAATTGGAGAACCAAGAGAAATTAAGGTAAACCCAAGCCAAATCAAGTGAGAAAAGATGGATTAATGGCTGTGGCTTACCGAAACAATGCCCAGAAATCACACATAGCAGAAGCCGACGGACAACAAGGGGAAAGGAAACAGTGCAGATCTGGAAAATTCTGGGTTTGGGAGAGTGTCCTAAGTTCTAAATCTTGTCATTGAACAAGAAAAGAAGGGAAAATCTCAAGCTTTTTAGCGATTTTTCTCAAGGGAAGCCTGTCGGGCTTGGGTCCTTGTTGTTCGGTGCAGGGAGAAGAAGAAGAAGAGCAGAATCGGGCTGAAGAAAAAAGAGGAAAGGAGAAAAAAAATAGTTGATCCTTATCCACACTTTCCTCTTTTAAGTCCCTAAACTTTGAAATTTCGGTTATTAAGCCCCAAAACAATATTTTCTCTCACAAAAATTCTTATTTAAATGTTAAAATATCACAAAATTTTGGGATATTACGGTAGGTCACCAACTGATCTGCAAGAGATTAAGGCCCAAGAGTACAATTAGCAATGAGAAATGGCATACATACACTTCATAATCGTCTGTAGAAACTACAACTACGTGCTTTAACGAGGGTGTGAATGAAATGAATGAAAGCTATTGGACCTGATTGAAGTAATTAAAACTAGATGGGTGACATTGAAAATGAATGAGAGATATGGACTTAATTAAAGCACATTAAAGTGCATGGATAGATTTGAGTAAATGAGAAACTGAAGGGACTAAATTGCATTAGATTGAAACTCTTGGAGTCGAATTGAAAATATATATTTTTTATTTTTTTGAAAATGCTGACTTTAACTCTTATTATTATTATTATTTTTGAACAGATCGTTACGGGACGGTCTCGAAGCCCACCAATGAAAAAAAGAGAATGCACCTCAAGCTGACTAAGTCTTAATTGACTTGAAAAGTCAGGTATGACTTTAACTCTTACTTAATTGTAATTAAGTCTAGAGTGATTAATCCGACTTAACTAAAATCAATAAAAAATAGATAGTAAAATTAAACCTGGTTAATCAAGCAATAATCAAATTCAAATATTTGCTAATCCGAACAATCAAACCTTAATTAAGATTAAAATTCTACGTTGGCCCATTAACAAAACACAAGACAGAACCAAGACATTCTTTTCCTCTTTTTTTATTTTTCTTAGTCTGAAAATCAGGGTAGAAACGACTGAAATAATGTGACCCCCAAAATTGCAATAAATGGGTATTAAAATGCAGCTAATAAGTGATCACGAACAGATATCATAATCGCACAAAATAATAGCAAATTAGAACATTTTATTCATCATATTAATAAGTTAATACATCGACAAGTCACAGCAAACATACAAGCATATAGCGAATCACCAGATTCTCCTTTTTGAAAATAGGCAATGGAATATTATTACTAAAGGTTAAATTTACACGATATGGTATACAATAGGCACCAAAACACGTCCATACTCATCCAATGGGCAAAACAAACTAATCAAGTCCAACTAGACACGTCCTTACAACGCAAACCAAGGAGCTGATTAGGAGGGCA